CTGATCAAGATTTGAGGTCAGATCAGGTCCAGATCAGGTTCACTACAGTCCCCCCTTTGGAAATCATCGCCTGTCCATGGGGATGAATTCCAACCGTGAACTTAGACCTTCAAATGTCCTTGAGCTTGATGTAATCCAACAAGGAAGACCAAAGTCAAAAGTAATCCAGCAAGGAAGACCAAAGTCAAGGTAATTCCACAATGTTCTTGGTATTCCATTGTGTTGATTATAATTCCATATCGTCTCGATAATTCCATTGTAGCAATGCTTTAACCCCTTGGAAACAGAGTCTGTAATCCATTGGAAAAAGTCATATAATCCACAACGGTAAATCCACAACGATTGGAAGTGTTGATTAATCAGCATACAGAGGGATACCCTTGGATTGAACTGAAGATGCAGTCACTGGATGAAGAGTGGAGACCAACGTCAGGATTGCAGGTCGCCTCCAGCGAAGGTTGTCTCCAGCGACGTCCAGCCTGTGCCGTTCTGGTTCAATGTGTCATGCAATTATGTGGTTTAAGGTGGGCTTATGAAGGGGATTTTACATAAGGCCTTAAACTGTATGCACCTGGTGTGTAAGCTATTATGGTTGGGAATAGCTACAACTACCAGTTAAGGGGTGGAAAAATGCTGATAAGGGTAACTACAGGGGTTTAAGCCTATAGAAAAGGGTTCCAAACTATTTTTCCATTTCTAACTTGGTTTAAGTTAGCTTTACATGGTAAAATATAGTTTGGTTCAATTGTCTGTTGTCTTCTAGACGAACGACTTGAGATTGGGTGTTTGGTTTCCCATAAATGTTTTGGAAGTCTATGGCGAGACTTATCAAAAAGAATTAGCTACCCCCCCGAATAGAATTGTTCGAGTAGGTTCGGCTTAAGCGTTGTGAGATCAATGTAGATTATGGTACTCAAGGTAGCAATAATATACATTGACTCCGCAAGGATTGCAATTTAATGAATGAACTGCATGTTGGCATGGTCAAAGGCTTCTTAGTCTCTAACTTACTACACAACAAAATTCATTCTTACCTGGGGTGTTCGAAAACAATACCAAAACCAATTAAACGATGTCTCAACATCGACAAGAACAGTGACTAAGCAACCAGTAAAACAACGTTTCAACATCGACAAAAGCAGTGATTAAGCAACTAGGAAACAACGTTTCGGTGCGCCACTCACTCTGAATGTCAGATTTGATCATGTTATTGCGTCTGGTAGCATTATCCTAACTGGCGTCACCCCCCTTCGGTCGTGGGAGACTGCGAACACGGGTGAGGACGTCGCTCCATGAGCTAAAGTTAGGTTGTCCTTGAGTAGTTTTAACTGTTTGCGCAGCTGAAAGAGGACTTTTAGGTCTGGATTGGAATCCAATTTGACTTTCGATGGAGTGTATTTGTCTGGGTCAGTCAGATACAGTATCATCGAGTTAATTGCAGGACCATCCAACTTCTGAAGTTGGATGATGTCTGGGTCAGTTGAAATTGACTTTTCATATTTTAAAAGAACTTGGCGAATGTTGTCTCTTTCTTCATCAGATGTCAGAGTGTCAGCTTGAGCGACCACCTGTTCAATCTGTGATGAGACTGATGAGGGTTCTTGCTCCATGGGGAGCTCCAACGAATCCTTTTCTGAGTCGTCGGACCTGTCTATGGGCAAGGCACCATAGGTTTGAGGTCCTTGGTCGACATCATTGGTTGAGAAAAGAGTGATGGCCTGTGATGGTTTCGTGAAACATACTGGCCCAGCTTCTTGACTCGGTACCAGGTTATCTGGGAGTCCTCCCAGAACTGGGATGCCTAGTTCAAAATCATGAAGGTCAGGTTCTGAGTTTTCAGTTTGTGATGACTCATCATCGTTTGTGTGTGAGTTTATCCCCCCTTCGTCCGATGAGGGGTTGTTGGAGGCAATAACAGCAGTCTTGGTGTGTTTCACCGACATCTGTAATGTTGTCATTCGCGCCTTCAGAGTTAGTAGCGATCAGATCACTACATTGTGCTCCTGGTTGGGTTCCCATTTCAGCGTGTATCAAAGTGTCTAAAAACCTTTGCATTTTCTCTGTCTCTTCCGAGCTCAGAGGTTTAGGGCCTTGTTCCTGGAACTTTTGTGATTTTTTCGCCTCGGGACGTTTCGTCCGAGGTGGGGGACGGTCAGGTACGTCTTTCGGGGGTTCCTTTACGTACTGCCCCTGATGATATGGTTTAACATATCGTTGCGTCCTACGCATGTCCCATATACGATAATCACGTTCATCCTCTGAAAGAGGAGCCTTTTTGTCCCAGTTTGCACCTTCATCACGTGGTTTTTTAGTCTGAAAATACTGCCTTTTCTCGCCTGTTTTAGGAGGAGGTGGCGTCGCACGCCTTCCTTCCATTTCTAGGGAGTGGGGTTTAACCTTTACACTTGGAAACACTTCAATGGGCGTCTTAGCCTGAGAACATGCTTCAAACACATTCACAGCACACTGCTTAATCTCACTGATGGATTTTTCTCTGAAATTTGCCATCATTTGTACTGGTTGTCTAAAATCAGTGTGGAGATTTTTGCTGAAAACAAACTTGAAACCTTCTTCTTCCTCCATTCCGGTTTCATTTCTGTTACCAAAATAAGCTTGGAAGATTCTTTTGTAATAAACTTTTGGATGTTCAGCTTTACCCTGCGTGACCTTTTCTGCGGCTGGATATCCAGCTGGTCCTGTGCAGGGGTCATACTCTTTGATCAGAGCTTCACACAGAAGGTTGTAAACCTTTCTCGTTGCATCAGGTAGACGCTCGATGAAGGTGAACACCTCTCTGTCCGAAGTGAGTCTTATCAGACTGATTTTATCTTCTACCGTAGCATTAGGATAAGATCTCAATCTGAACTCCAGTTCTCTGAGGTACGCTTTTGTTCCAGTTGAGCCCAACGGTCCAGGAACGAAGCATTGTACATATTTTGAGATTTTTTGCAAATCATCCATTGAAGGAGACAGTTTCCATGCACTCTGTTGCATGTTTTGTGGAGGAGACCTGTTCAGGTCTGTTCCTGCCACTTTATGTGAGGGTGGATTACGAGCAGGAGGTGCAACAATATCTTTCTGAGTTGGTTGTGGGTTACCTGAACTCTGTTCCCGGTCTTCTCTGAGTTCCAGACAAACTCGCCCCACGTCAGAAATCTTGTTTGTTGCTGCTCTTAGTTTTTCTTCACATGTTTTTAAGCGTTCCTGTGATGTATGATAATCACTTTCTAAACGCATCTTTAGCTGTTGCAATATGTGTTTATCCATTCTGAGTTCTTCCAGCTTTTTGTTAAGCACATCTATTTTGCTATTCAGCGAATCAATTTCTGCATTTGCATTTTGCTGTGATTGAAACATCTGTTCAGAATGTTTTTTTGTGAGGACTTCGTGTTCACTTTTAAATTGAAGGAAGTGTTCTTCAATTTTCTGAACAACCTCTTTTTCACTGTTTAACCTTATTGCAAGGTAATCAGCTTTCTCAACAACCGTATAGAATGATTCTTTCAGCAAAATTGCAATTTTAGCCAGCTTTTCATAGTTTGGCATTGTAATTTCTGTAGAGGTCACACTTTCTGCAACCTTCTTCAGATTGTCCAATAACTCTTTTGGGTTCATGCGCTCTGCCTGTTTATCATATGGATGTAAAGAATCTGTCAGAAGCTTCAACGCTTTCTCCAAGCAGTCCGTCATCCCTTTTGGATCAAAGTCTTTTTCTAACACACCTGTCATGTTTTCCACTGTGTAGCAATTTATCTGTTTAAAACAGTTGCAAGCTTTAGATATTTTACAGGTAAATATTTGTATTCAAGTCAATGAGTTTTCACACTATTTTAGCTTTGGGTTTACACAGAAGTACTGTTATAAGTCAACTTATTCAAATGTGGGTACCTTTTTCAGGTTTTACCCCAATTCATGAATATTTAAGTAAATGCTCTCGGCAGTGTTACTTGTATGTGCTTATTTTCAACAGGTACTAGTTACCAAGCTGTTTTTAGTGTATTTTACTCTAGAGCACTGAATTTTTTATAAACTTGCAATTTTTTCTTAAAGTCTCACAGCAATCATTGGTTTAAAACGTTTTTTAAACCGTTCTGTTCCAGAAATTTGCTATTTTAACAGTTACTCATAGAAGCAAGTGGTGAAAAGAAAAAGAAAAGTTGATGATGTATCAG